CCTGTGTGAACTGGGATACGAGGTGTTGCCCTTATTTCCCTGTGGTTAAAATCCTAGTTGGGTGTAGGCTGTGACCAGGTAGTCTATGATGGGGTGTGTGACATGGAGGTCCAGGCTACGAGAGTTCGGGTACGAGATGCGGCCACTATTCTCCTGTTCCTATCAAGTGTAGGCTGTGACCGTCTAATGCACGCTGGAGTGTTCGACACTGTGGTTGCACCCACGCATGAAAGGGGTAAGAGAGGCCGCGGTAAATGTGGCGTAAAAATCTACTACCGCTTAAAAACTAAATCACGCGCAATTTCGTGGCCTGCATTGGAGTAACAGCATACGCTAGATGCCACTCGGTCTTCTTGACTCTGTCATGACAACAGTTTAAAGATGGGAAAAGTGGAGAGTGTGGTAGACGCTTTGCAAAGCTACTATAACTTCAAGGGTAAGTATTTATGCGCCGTCACTGCACCAACCTGTTTGGAGCATGATGGAGCACAAACAGACAAGCTCTCTACCTCTGTCAACCACTGCGTTGATACTCCCATCACATAATTCACCAGCTCTGACAATGGATCGGTGTCTGGGAGCGGGAAGGAAGTGAGAGGGTGGTTAACTGTCTCGGTGAATATACCTCCGTATAGGCAGTCTGAGGGGCTTTAATCTATCAGGATTGTCTCCCGACGAGATAACTCGGTCCATCTTCGAATAGGTTGAGGTCGATTCTACACGCAACCTCATTCTTCGAAGTCTATTTGGTGTGCGTGTAGTTTTTACCAGCATGTCTGCGCCACATGCGGACATTGGTTAATTATCATCATGTCCACGCCTATTTGCATTACTCTCCCTTCCTTGAGGAGGTGCATGTATGGAGTCCTCTGTCTTTTATTACATGCAAAGCTCCTATGTTTTAACGCTTTAACACTTTATTACATTGCTGCCTTCTTTTGCTTCCAGTCACCTCCCGTTCGGGGCGTTCCGGCTCCTACTTTACCGGAACGCCCTGTTGACGCTTGCAAATTGCGACCCATATCAATGCCCTGCTCTAGTTCTCCGCGAGAAGCACTTAACCGAGCTGGTTTTTTCACGGTAATTATTACTGCTAGAGTGTCACTGCACAACCTATTGACTGTGGGGAAGAGGAAAAAGAAGAAAATTCGATCACTGGGACAACACTTTTATTCGCCTGACGCTTCGATATCCGGCGTGAATTCTTCATCAGAGACATGAACAGAAAGCAATAGCAGGAAACGCGAGTATATGCACAGGAATTTGCAGTATTTATTGGACATAGTCATTACTGCAAACAAATAAAGACAATTAACGATAATTGCCCTCTTGTGTGTTGATAGCCTGTTGACCAGCATGCGGGCTCCGACTTGCTGAAGTTTCATCACTCCTGGTGGACTCGAGCGTGATGATTTCTCGGCCATCTGGTTCTCCGTTTTTGGCGAAAGACAACACGGTGGTCGAGTCCACCAGTTGTCATGAAAGTTCGACAAGTCAGAGCCCGCCCATTCGGTCAACAAGCTATCAACTCAGAAGAGGTCAATTATCGTTTATTCTCGTTATTCGTTTGCAGTAATGAGTATATTATATAAATACTGCAAAATCTTGTGCATATGTTATCCGTTTCTCCTATTGCCTCCTGCTCATGCCTATGATGAAGAATCCGCGACGGTTGTCGAAATGTCAGTCGAATATATATGCCCCAGTGATCGGATCTCTTCGTTCTTAATTACTTTCTGCGACTTGCATGTTCGCTTGTATTGGCAACCTATTAACTGTTGAGCAAATGGTGTCTTCAAGACGGATTGTGCTAACCGATTAGGATCTAAATTCGCAAGTGCGTACCTATCCAATAATTCTGTCATGTGGGTTCAGCCTCTAGTGACCGTGTGGCATAGACTCTTTGATTTGCATGTCTTGCAATCTGCAAATATGAGCTGCATAAGGGGGGGGGACACATTGAGTCGTCGTCACGTCCTTGGAATAGTTATGTTTATTTGATCGCTTTTCACTGATGAAATTCTTCGTGTTTGGATGCATGAGTTGTTGAAATGAGTGCCGCTGTTGCCTCCGATGTATTCACGCACGGCAGATATGTATGGGGCGTGGGGAAAGCCTTCTGGCAAGTGGTTGTGCCAATCGTCTTGCTTTCCTCGTTCACGGTAGAGGAAGAAGGTGACAGTGAGTGCGGTCCTGCACCACTTATTTTAATTGCAATACGTCTGTCAGTACTTCTTACTGACTTAAGTCTTCATTTATTAACTGGATCGCATTGTTATTTGAAGTTAGTGAAGAAGGCGATCCCTTTCTAGTACACAAGTGGTATTCGTTTTCAGCGCAACTAGCATGTACCGTCCAGGTTTTGATTTAGTCCTCTGAATGTATCAGTCAACTGCCCGTGATTTTAGCGACCTCTTTTAAAATCAGCGCCGACCAAGATACATGTGTCCAAAATACGTGTTCACATGCCTGGTACTTGTAAACAAATGAATAGATTGTATATTTAAGGCCCAGTGCCGTGGTAAAAATGAATACGAAGCTGGTAATCGCAGTTGTCTGAGAGCAACTGTTTAAACAGCAAAAATTAGTAGTATGTTATACATATTAAGTCATATCCGATTCACAACTGTCATAACCTTGTGTGCTCCTATGTGAACATTGGTTATGTCCCCAGTTACGTGTTAGGAAGAGAAGACAGAACAGGATAGCAGATAGTACTTTACTGTCACTTCTACTAGTACATCAGCACTGTTTCCTGTGTGTCCAGCAGCTTGTGTTCTGTCTTCGTCTCGGTCAACAGCGAACCGTGTCTCTAGCAGCCGTGTCCCGGGTCGCTAACAGTAGAATCGCGGGTCGTCGGTAGCGCGTCTCCAGCAACAGAATGCCACCTTCAGCGTTTGCAGCATATTTAAGGGCCAATAGTCATTGTTCCCCATTGGCTCTCCAAAATGGCCCCTACGGGCAGCCGTCATGCCTCCAGCCATCGTTTCCTTAGCGTGACCTCCCGATAGCCGCAACCCGGCCGCGGGGCAATCTCGCTTGCGCGGGCCTCCTTTGTCCTGGCCTAGTGTCCGCTCTTTGAAGGTCGCTTCTAACTGCATGAACCGGTCGCCAATAAGGTCCCTTTGTTCTGGTACCCTCAGGATTGCCCGAATGATGACTCACCTCCGGGCCATCCCAGCAACAACCGAC